GAGAGAGAGAGAGAGAAAGAATTAGATAGTTCCAACTTACATTAATGTACAAATAAACTAAATTGAAGATTGTTCTTCCATAGAAGGTAGAGAACAATAAGTGTATACAATTATAAATATATAGATACCATAAAACATATACCCATTCCTTTTACAAAAAATAGAAGAGTAAACATCAATATCATAAATAAAATTACACATATGAGAATAATTTTTTGAAGGTATGCTTTCTCACGGACCATAGCAACAGATTTGTGTTCCTCTTTTTTAGATAAAGATGCATCCACTCCATCAACACCACAAGCATCTGGCTTCTGAGACACGAACCTTTATTCTGAGATGGTTGCCAATGGGTAACAAACCTAATAGATATAATTAAATTCATCAGGAAGAAGGAAAAACAATTTGTGTTCTTGTCAAATTCAATGAAATTGAATATTAAGAGTTTCATAATACATAAAAGAAAATAGGTTATTAGGATTCTATAAAAAGTATTCCATAAAAAAAAAAAATGAATGAGTTAACTAAAGAAGCAAACTGCATATTTGTGGTGAACATAACAGCAATATAATTACAATTCACATTAGCTAAAAGGATTTTGCATAATATAAGTCATGTTAAAAACAATAATAAATATTAGGACTTGGATTTGATGGTGCAAACCAAAATCATCATAAGACTATCTCCAAACCATTAAATACAAAGGATCATTAAGACTAGGAATATGAGCATAAGAAACCAAATCAAAAACAAACTTCTAAATTAATGAATATGGGTTACACATTGCCCCAATTGGTTCTCGAAGAATTTCAACGAGTATATGTTGTGCCTATCTCCAAATCATTAAATTTTCAAGAAAGTAAACAATAAAAAACAACATTCACACAGATGTTCTCCATAAAAAAACCACAATCAATACATAAATATTGATAAAAGTAAAACTTTGGGTATTTTTTGTCGGGCTTCTTACCTTAGTTGTTACAAAAATAGTTGTTTTTAGAAGTAAGCCAGAATCAAATAGGATGAGGTGAATTCAATCAAACACACAATGTCCCAAAATCTAAATGTTGGTACAATGTACTGGTGCCAAGGCATTTTCTCATAACAAAACACCAAAAGTGCCCCTTGTTACACAACTGCATAATGAAACATGCCCTAAAGAAGTTTGCTTTCCATTTAAATGAAAAGTAAAAGCGAAAAGGTGGCAATTAGTTAGAGGGATTGTATTATTTATCATTTGTTATTGCTAATTCATGGAAGATAATGTTCATAAAATTACCACCCATGAGGGATTATAGAAACTGCTGATCCAAATCAGAAATTGACAATCAAGAATGGAAATCATGGGTGGAATACAGAGAACTAGGTTTGGCTGACTGCAGATCTAGGTCAAATATAGAGAGAGCATACCTTCTGTGATGGGGCACAAGGCAGACGAGCAGGCTTTAAGCAAGGGCAAGAGAGAGAAACAGGTGCACATGCGAGGGAGGGGCTTTTCTCAATCAGCAGGGTTTTCTTCGGCACGAGCAGGGGTTTCTTCCGTAGAATCAGAGGCAAGGGAGGGGTTCCTTCTGCGTGAGCAGGGGCAGCAAAGGAGTTTCTTCAGCTCGAGCGAGAGGAAGAAACCAGGCGCAAGTGAGAGCAGGGGTGTGGAAGAGATAGAGAGAGAGAGAGGA